TCATCTTATATTGGCTCATATTGTCCACTGTAACCCCCAGGTACTTATCTACAGAACTGCTTCACCAGTCAGTCCCCAACCTGTACTGGTGCATGGGATTGTTCCGTGCGTCTCCTTATTAAACCTCATGAAATTTCTTTTGGTTCAATCCTCCAATTTCTCTAGGTCTCTGAATCTTAGTACATACACTGGAGAGTAGGGCTATCTCCCCACTCCCCCAGCTTAGTGTCATCTCCAAACTTGCTGAGGATGCACTCCATCCTGTCTTTCAGGTCCTGTCTTCCACTGATGATATTGAACAAAACCAGCCCCACATCCACAGAGCCAGTCATCTCATCAGAGAAGGCAATTAGGTTGGTCAGGCATGAATACTGAAAATGCAGAATACAGTGTGTGATTATAGATTAGTCTGTAGCATGGAAAAGGATATTCACTGTATGCAAACAGAATTAATAGCTTTGCTATTAAAGCAAAGGGAACCTGCTTATCAAATTGATGCACACCCCTTATTACATATTTGGATACAGTTTTCCTAAAATACTGGTTACTTCACTGATTTTGAGAGAGGTTATATACTATTGGTTAACTATTGGTTAACATGGGAGTACTCACAGCTGTTGCCTACGATGTTCCATGGGGCTCTGCCACCCCTACACCCCGTCCATTCACCAACCGATCACGTGCTGGTGGGATGGTGACCTTCGGTCCTCTGCAGGCTTTCCCGCCTTCGGCTTCACTAATGCGGTGACTCGGACTTAGCTGTACAGCTCTGCCAGCCCATCCTCTTGCCTCTCTGACCCTTCTGATATCACTTAGTGTCCTTCCTTCCTAACTTCCCTAGAAATAATATTCCCCTTGGGTAGGGCTGCTCCCAGAGCTGCCTTCCCTTATCCAGTGGATTCTGCACCTGTCCCCAGCTCTATTTCTCCTAGGGGCAGTGCTGGCAAACGCAGTGTGCCCTGTCATTCCCCTTGCTTTCCTCCTCTCAAGGGGAGTACTGGCCTCTCCCTGCTCACTATCTGTTGCATGGCAGGAAGTTTCCCCTTGCTTTCTTCAGCTCACGGTTTAGAGGCTTCTCCTGCCTCTTGTGCTGGTGCCTTGCCTCAGCATGCCAGACATGCTGTCTGCTCTTTCTATCTCTCTCTGGCTCCCCCTCCCCTCTGGTGCTGCTGGGGATTTTAAACTTTCCTGCAGCGGCCATATTGGCCACCGCGATTGGCCCAGCTGTTTCCCTTACTGGGAACAGCTGCTTAAATAGCCGGCATAATGCCAGCTCATGCGACTGCAGCTGCCACCACGGTCTCGGCTCCGGCACCGCCGGGTCTCCCGGAGGTAAGTTACCCTCTCCGGGGTTCTGTTCCAGGGTTTTGTCTGCCCCGCAGCCTCTCCTCGCCTCTCCTTCTGCCCATGATGGCAGTGCGCCACCGTCACAGGTGCCAAGTAGTGTAGTAGTTCATATTCCATAGTTTTGTAAAGCATTTTCAAAAGGCCTCTAACCTTTTTCCAGTATAATACCATATACAAGAAATAATCATGCTACTAAGGACTACAATTCATGAAATGAAGTCTTGGAATATTTAAGGTTCACATTCTATCTTCAGCAGTTAAACTCAAGATCAATAACACTTGCTTAAATGAAACACCAGAAATGTGGAGCTAGCTATTGATTTTTGAGCAATGTAAATTTTTGTCTCTTCCCAGCATATAAACCTCAGTTTAGTTAGAGGAGCATTTAGATTAAATCCTGCTGACCTACTTGAATCTACAGATGAGCTCATAAACAGGAGCTCTGTGATGCATGCCTCCTGAACTATGTATGTAGTGCTTATTGTCTTTCTAATGTCAGAAGTGATAGTATGAGTTATTAGTTATAACTTTGCTTTGAAAATGCTTTCATTTACTTCCTGGACATCCATCTTAGAGAGGAAACATATATAGTACTTTCAGCAAATGTTTAAACACAAATGTTCATAAAAAATTATAGCTTGTAACTAGTCACAAGTTGTATTATTTCTGACTAGTTACAGAGATAATATTAGATGTGAGGGGTTTTATGCTTGTTTCTATCTATCTGCAATATTTTAACAATTTTAACAAAGAATAACAGTCTTTTTGAAATTTGTTTTTTTGCCTTTTTTGTCTCTCTCTTTTTAATTGTTTTCTAAGCTTTCCAGATAGTATTGTTTTCTATACATAAAATCTTATGCAGTCATAACATAATGTATGCTGCTTATAAAAACCATTGTATCTTTGAAGTATAAAATATGGAAATTTTCTTGCCCATTTGTGCTTGAGGATTCACTATATGCCCATAGTAGTTTTATGGATCAGTGGCTATTTGTGCAGTAACAACTAGAATTAATTATATATAGAGTCATTCAAATGTTGCAAATTGCAACATTTGGAAAAAGAAAACCCATAGTACTTTGAATAAAATTCTTTTAGTTGGTTTGTGGCTCAGTGACAGCTCATCAGATTAATAGTTTCTAGTCATCTTTGCTAAATAGAAGCTCATAGGATCTATTCTTCTGATGTTCACATACAGTAACTCCTTGTGTGCTATTAGTATTTAAAAATTAATGCTTATAGAAGAAAGAACTTACTAAAATTGAGTTACTATAATATTAAGAGTTCTGTTTAATCACTATTGTAACTGTCTGTTTTCCAACCAGAGTGACTGCTGATTTAATTAGAAAAACAGACACTTCATTTTACTCTAAGCAATATTGTATCACTTGCACTAAAATGACTTTTCTACTTCAGTAACTTATTCTACATCCAACCAATGATAATTCATAATTGAGAATGCTCCTTATTGTTAATCTGATGATTCACAGTGAGAGTACTATGGCTCATGTAGCAATTATTAGCAACAAGAGGGTCAGTACATCATAATAGAACAACAACAAAAATCAGCCAGTCTTCATCTTTCAGGCACACATCTTTTGTGGTTTTGATATTTGTAGAAGAGTCTTACTATAATGTCAAAATGTAATTTTTACTTAAATTAGATTTTTTTTTTGTAGGAGAGTAAAAATACATCATACTGCCCAGGGGTGCCCACTAAACCATGGTTTAACTCTTAAAATAGTAGTGAAGGTATGTTGCTGGGAAATGAATTTTAGCATTTTTACAGCTTTTTAAAATCTATTTCAGCCAAGTAAAAAATCCTATATGGTGGTGTTGCAAACTCCCTCAAATCCCCTACTTTTCAGAGGTCAGCAAGATATATTGGGTCTCCAGCATTTTACAAGGATTGACCAAAAAGTAATCCCTCCAATTTTTTTCTCAGCCAAATATTATTGTAAAAATATTAAACTGGCATGGATAATGTGTACATCATTGCTGAACACAACACAGTCTCCTTCTGTATTAATGACCTTTTTCCACTGGTGAATAAGGGCATATTTTCCATCATTGTAGAAGTTTTCCTTGTGCAGCAACTGTCAGGCTGTTAAAAGAGTTATGTTCCTAGTTTGGCCCAAAGCAAGAAATACTGAAAATATTGGAAACCTTAAAAGAAGATATTCCTGAAAGTCTCTTTTTTCTCTAGACCAGTGGTGTTAAACCGTTCTGGCCAGCAGGCCAGAAGGGCAGTGCTGAATCAATCTGTGTGCTGGATCCAGTGGGGCTCTAACCAGCCACACAGAAGAGGACAGCTCAGCCCCAATCCATCCATGCAGTGGAAAAGGGCTCGGATGATCAACCTGATCATTTGGGGGGGGGGGGTGCAACCGTTCATTTGGGGGGGGGGGGGGGGGCTATGACCCAACACTGATCCAGCCCCATGGGGCAGGGGGCATGGTATATTCCCATGGGCAAATGGGTGTGGCATGATCTGGCCTTGTGGGTGGGGGGAAAAGGGTGTGGCCCAGCCCAGAACCAGCTGTGCAGGTGGAAGGGATGTGGCCTGGCCCTGTGGGAGAAGAAGATACAGCCTGGCCCTGACCTGGCCACCCAGAAGTAAGGGGGTGTAGCCCAGGTCTGGTCTAGCTGATAGGGATTGGGATTTTGCCTATGGGGAAGAGCAGCAGTACTGCTACTGCTCCCTCACCACCACATTTCCTAACCTATGGGGAGCCCTACAGGCCAGATTCCAAGGTGCTGCAGACTGAATTTGAGCACCTCGCGATAAACCAAACATGTTTAAATATCCCAACATGTATGCTTGAGATCCTTTAAAATGTGTAAGCTTAACTGCTTTTTAACTGTAGTGAAAGGGACAGTATCCCAAATGCTGTCTAATCAGACATGATCAATGAACTAGTGTTCAAAATGACTATAACTCTTGACTGTTGGGCTCAACTGGAATTTAAATTTTCATATAAATTTATTTAATTTGGCAGGAGGATTTTTTCATTTCTTATCATTGTAGGCATAGGGTATGGAACACAGAAACATTTATTTTGTTTGAGTAGATTGAGAGTGTGACACTAACACTTATCTGCCAGTGATCTCTTCCTTTCTAGGTACTACAAGTGAGTATGCTCTTTCCTTCAACCTCGCTTGTCATGACTTTCTCGATACGCAATTGCAAGGGAGGGGTTCAGAATAATGGGAAAAGGGAGCCCCCTTGGGGTACTCAGTTCCTGGCATGGTTAACACTGGGGCTCCACCTTTCCTACACCTTAACCGCACACCAGCCATCATTGTAACCATGGTTTCTTGCAGTGCTGGACTCTGGTCCCGATTGATACCTGTTCTTGGTGAATTCCAGGCCAGGTGTTAGGCTCTGCCCCTCCACCTCAGGGGTGAGTGCTAGCATACCCGTGAGAGTTCTTACCCTCTATCTGAGGGTCCACTGAGGACTGAGGTCCCCTAGCTCCTCCTGTTCTCTTTAGAGGACCTCCTTGTGATCCCAAAAGAAAAAGAAGAAATAATGAAACAAAAAAAAAAAAACCACACAACCCCAAAACAACCCCCCCCCCACCCATGTCATCAACCTGGCTCTGCCCAGCTTGATTGACAGCTGACTCTTAAATCTCAGCATGGATGCCATGTGTAGCTAGGACTCCTTCATTTTGAGTTTCCCAGGTAAATCTTCCTGCTGGAGTTGGGGGTCTTGGCTTGCCCACATGGGGTCTGCGAGCATGTTGACACGGGGTCTTGGGCCCTGTTTGTCACAGAGTTTAATTAATAGTGATGACCATAATCAAGAAAATGAGTCAAATGGTCTGAAGATGAATAAAGTTAGAACTAGAAATACTGAAGAAGCAAAATTATTTGATCTAGTTCATCAGCCCCTTCACCTCTAGAATTAGAAATGAGTGAATGACTTTGTCTCTTACGAGTCTATGGGTACAGCTACACAAGCCATTAATGTGCAGCAATAAACTATGGAGATTATTGCTCTGCAGTTATTGCTTCCAGGAAGCTCCTGGGCATGCAGCTTACATGTGCATCCAGACCATAGCATATTGAGCTGGGTTGCAGCAGCCCCAGCTGGCAGGAGTCTGGGGGGTCAGCCCGTCAATCCTGGGCTGCTTTGACTCAGCTTGATGTGCTATGGAAGGACTGACTGGGGCAAAAGGGTGCTTTATCGTGGGGCTAGCTGGCAGGCAGCTCCAGCAGTGAAGCACCCTCATGTCCCAGCCACCTGGTTCAGCACCTACACATGCATTTACAAATCCTATCCTGCTGCAGTTTATTAGTTTTGTGCACCATAATAGGGGCTCATGTGTAGATGTTAAGATGTGTCCTGTGCAGCTAATGTCTTGTAGTCATGACCTATGAATATAATATTGGCAAGAATAAAACTGCTCATATCCCTCTTCCTTATTTTTGTCTTCTTGTTATTCAGTCTTCATTTTGGCTAATGAAACATCTTGAATCAAATTTGTAAATTCACAGAGCATAGAAATGTAGGTCTGGATATGTATCATACCTGCACAGCTGCTTGAAATCAGTCCTCAAATAACTGAAGAGGCTCACTGTCAGGTCAGGGTTGCCATTTTTTAATCAGTCTCAAAAAAAAAAAAAAAAAATAAAATAAAATAGAAAGCATCAGATCATAGTCCTTCTCTGGCTTTGTTATGACACTGGGAATTACAGTGCTAAACTAGGGGAATGGAATGCTTTAGAATTCCTATAATCCAAAAAGACATGAACAGCAATTATCCACATAAATTTTGCTTAGGTAGGCAAGGTATCTACTTAATGTGTATGTCTCCTAATAAAAACAACTTGTGAAAATATATAGGTACAGTCTCAAATGTGTTTGAAGTCTTTCAATTATAGTGAAAGCAAATAACTGGAGTCCATCCATAAAGAGCAGTTCTGTAAAAATCTATCCTTTTCTTGCTTTGTAGTGTGAGGCATTTGAAGTCATTATTAATGATACAATAGAAGCAAGCACAAGCTTGCTATGCCAATATTTTACCGATGAATTGCTAGTTAAGAATGTTTTTGTTGCACTCTGGAAATACGTGAAGATTTGACTTCTCAGTTGGAGTGTGTTGGTGTACTTTCGCTGACCTTGATGCAGCAAAACCTGTTTGCTCTAGCTTAGTATCTGATATTTTGGGAAAGCTGTCATTGATTGTATTGTGATTCCTTTTTCAAAATAGCTAATTGTATCTATTCTTCGTTTTTAAGAAAACCTCAATCCTCACCTGTTATTAAACTTGGATTTCCTTACAAATATTTTGTTTTTCAACATATTCAAAAACATTTCATAAAACTTTTTAAACACAAACATTAAGTCAATCAGTTGATAACATAGTAGCAACTATATTAAGGGCAGTGGGCCCTGCTGTGACAAGCACGAGTCTTGGAGGAAGGAATTGCACAAAATATTGAATGATAACAGAAACCATTAGAAAAATTAATAAAAACACCTTTTTATGATTAATGGAGATAAACAAGATCTTTTCACTGTTTCAGAGACATCTAAAAGCTTGGGATAATTAAAGAACTGGATAAATAAAGTAAAAACTTCAGACAATTAGCATACTCCAGTTTTAACCATATGGTAGGTTCTCTTTGAGGGTGTGCGTGTCATGGTCCGGGGTCCCACAGGAGGGCCGTGATCTCCTGAAGGCCCCCCTTCCCATGCCAAGTTGGCCCAAGAGCACCCTCAAATTCTTGCCCACCACGTCTCTGATGACACAATACATTTGGAAGGCTGCCTTTTACGCCCTCTTGGTCACATCTTGATGGACACTCAGACCCCATGGTTTCCCGGACCCCTTGTGGGTACCGTTCTGCAATGGGTGCTGCAGGGGAACCCTAGCCTTATGGACTATGCGTGGCTCCAACCACCCCTGTACCATGCCCCAAGCCTCGCAGATGGAATAGACGTTGTTTGGTATTAGCCTTATTATAATCTGGCCCCTTGTCCTCTCTGGGCCCTGCCTCTTTCAATCTGCGCCCTCTCTGGCGCTAGGGCTCTCCACAGCCCTGTCTCACTCTGTGCCCCCTCTCCTGGGCTTCTCTACAATACTGCCCCCTCCCTGGGGCTCTTGGCTGCCCCCTTCTGTACTGGGGCTTCTCAAGCGCTGCCCCCTTCTCTGGGGCTAGAGTCAGTGCACCCTGACTGCTCCGCCTTCACTGGCTCTGGGGTCCCCACACTGCTGTGGGTCCTCTATGAGGCCTCCTCCAACCCCTAATAGCCTCACCCAAACCACTGGTCTTTAAACAGCAACACAAATACAAGCCCCCTTGGCTATAACAGAAATTAAAGACGCACGGCTAAAACCACATTACTCAAACACCCCAGAGATGTGCCATCCTTTACCCGGCTTGGGCTGTACCTGCAGTCAGGCAGAGCTCCTTCCTCTCTGGCTGCTAGTAGGGAACTGCCCTCTGGCCTCAGGCCCTAGGGTTTATAAGGGAGCCAGGCCCTGCCCCTTCTGGTCAGCTGACCTCCTCTGGTTGTCCTGGCAACCTGCAGCTGGGCTTATCACTCACTGCTAGGGCTCCTTCCCTAGCAGTTTTTTCCTTGTTAGGAGCAGGGCACCTAGGTGCTCTGTGATAGTGTGTCAGAAAGAGAAACCAAAGCATGTAAATCGTTCCACTTGCTAAAAATTGTATCCCCAATTCTTTAACATTCTGGATTCTTTGAAACTACTGCTGTTTGGCATTTCAGGGGATGTCTCTCTTGATATTTTAGGTTTATTACAAACAATCTTAGCCATATGAGCTGCCCCTGAGTATCATGCTCAAGAAATAAACAATTTGGATGGTTTTGATGCTAAGGTGCATCCCAGGTTCCACTGTACATTGTGAAGTATAGTATTTCCAGAAGTGAGGCAGTGGAGTGAAGAAGGGTTAGAAGATAGGAACAGGGAATAATGAGTTCGGCTTTGTCAAACTTGTGGTGCTCAAGGTCTTTTGTATGTGAATGCATGCCAAATGTGCTACAGATAGGGGTGGGGTAAGCAATAAGTGGCAACTAGTTCAGTCTTATATTGCAAAGTTTAGCAGAGCTTCCAGGGTTGAGCTGTATTGCCACCAGTGGTTAAAATATGGATTTACAAAATAAATAGCTGGTCAGCAGAGGCAGAGGCAGGGAACGGGTGCATTGGAGCAGTTGCATCTCCTTTGATTACTTTATCACCAAAAGTTTAAAACCAACTGCTTGGAAGTGGGAGCAGCATTTCAATTTAGGCAGCATACAATGAGTTATGGCTCATTGTAATCTATCTGACCCCTTCTAAACTCCTCATCCTACAAGTGTTAATTATACCCTCTCCTTTTTTAATGGATGTTAGTGATGTTCCACTAATCAAGCTAATCTTTTTTTGCAGGCCTGCTGTTTATTAGCTTCTACTTTTAATGTAAGTTCTATTTCACAGCCCTGAAAACTATTTTTAACTCTAATTAAAAATATCAGCTCAGGTGTGGAAACATTAACTCGTGATCAACTCAGGTGTGGAAATAACATTTAGTGAAGCATTGGATGCAGTGTCAAGATTTTCAAGAAGGCTAGATTTTAGTTTTGCCTAGTTTGTTTGTGTGTTTTAAAAAAAAAATACAAATATAACCCTTCCACCAGGCACTGATCAACAGCAACAAGGGCCGGGTTCAAATTTCAGGGTACCAAATAAGTTTTCACTGTGACTTAAGCCCCCACCCAGAAATCTGGGATCACTGAATTTGGCTGTGTCCATCATAAACAAACCCTCTCCTCACAAGCAACATAAACACAAAAAGGACAGATTTTAAAAATAGAAAACAAAAGCAAGGAAAACACCAAATGCAGTTTGAAATACTATCAGCTACAAGGTATAGTATACAGTTTGTACCCTTTTTGGGAGATTCCCCCTTGCCCAGGCAATCTGGGACTAGGTGGGGGGCTCACAGACAGGGTTAGTTTTGGGGGTTTGTACCCCTATACCTGGCTACTCAGCAAATAGGCTGGATGGGGGCCCATACCAAAGACTTCTATGAGCTGTCCCTTGGGATCATTGTACCTTGGGGAATGGCTAGACTGCCTAGGTCCTTCTGCAAAGTCAGGGGCCCCTTGTTGCTCTCTGGGAAGCTGCAGGGTGCTGATTTCCACTTTCATATGGTGGTTTTGAGGGGGTGGCTTGTAACTTCAGTCAGCATACCACACCCCAAAATTCCTAGTACCAATCCTCAGCTCTGCTGGGGCAGAAAACTGCGAAAGGACTCAAAAGAGGAGTCAGGTCTATTCTAGTTTGGGCCTGAACTGCAGATACACTCAGCTACTTAGCTAGGCTGAGACGAAAGAAACTGCAACAGCCACAAAAAGGACCCAGGCTTATCCTACATGACAGCCTGAACAGCCAGTGGGGCAGAGCTATACAGCTATGCTGAGACACGATAGCTGTAAAACAACAAAAGGGGGCCTAGGCCTATTTGCCCTGGGCCTGGACTTAAGCAACAGAAGGAGACCAGGCTAATCTGGCTGCAGCCTGGACATCTAGTCTCAGCTACACAAATAGGCTGAGACAAAAGAAATTGAAACAGCAACAAAAAGGACTAAGGCCTCCTTGCACTGGGCCTGCTTCAGCTACGCAGCTAAGCTGAGATGCAATAACTGCAAAACAACAAAGTGGCGGGCGGGGGGGGCAGGCATATCCTGGCCAGTAACTGCTAGGGCTCCATTCCCAGGGTCTGAATTAGACTTGAGGGGGGTGGGCTGCAAAAAGGTTGGGCTGCCCATAACAATGTGCTAATAAAAATAGGAGACCCCTCCCCAGGTTATGATTTTTAAGTCTTACAGGAGGGCTCTCATCTCTTATGGGGGGGAGGGGGGTAGTTCACCCCCTCCAAGTTCCTTCGTAATTCGAACCCTGTCCACTCCTGGTCAGTTTGTTCCAGGAGGGTTAACACCCCCACAATAGTATTATACATAGTATTATACCATTTAAGGCCTTAAGCCTGGCCCATATCTGCCAGCAAAACTGCCAGGCTCCAACCCTGGTGAGTCTGCTCCAGGGATTAATACGCCCATGGTATTATCCCACTCAAATCTGAGAAAAAGCAAAGGGGCAAAAAAGGGAAAGGAGCTGAGTCCCAAATTGAGACAGTCTTGCTTTTTCCCTTTGCCTTAGATTTTCCCTTCACATAGCTCCAACTCACTTCTCCAGCGAAGAGGGGAGGAGACATTCCCACGGGGAGAAGTTCTCTGCAGTTCAGCTCCCCACTTCCTAACAGCAGCCTCTGTTGCCACTCTTAAAGAGAAAGAGGCCTGAGTTTCAGCTGAGAGATTCCTATATGACGTGACATGACATTACACCCACACATCCAATAAAGGGTTGCCAGGCCTCCAGCCTCTCTCTCAACCAATTAAAAAAGCACTGCCCAGTTTAGCCAATCCAGCTAGGGATCTGACCCCCACTGCCTAGGACTCTCTGGTTTCATCACACAGTGAGGGAGGGAGGGGTTCTAAAACCAAAGCCACTGGTATCTGCCTACATGCAATTTCTCCTCAAATCACCAAGCCACACAAGAAGAGACCAGATAGTAAAATACAGCATGTATAAAAGACATACAGGCTTCCCTTGCTTTATGCCGGTTCTGTATGTGTGAATTCACTCTTATGCAATGATCCTTTTTGTACCAAACATTCATTATATGTAAGGTAAATTACTCATTTGTGATCAGTGTGGTGGAAGCCTGCAGTCAGTTGCTTTGTGTGGAGTATTGTGGGAGTGTCGTGCACCAAAATACAATCTCCTGTGTGGATCTGTACTCCTCGCTCGTTGTCTGCAATACATGTTTCTCTAGTTGTCATCCCCGTTATGCCCTGTGCTTGTGTGTACTGTCTGTAGTAAGTGAGTACCAAAATTGTCTTGTAAAAGTGGTAGAAATGGGCCTGAGTGTCAGTACAGTTGAGGTCTTAGAACGTTTCCCTGTTTGTTACATTGTAAAGTGGGTTCCCTTTATGTAAATTTGAGTTATGCGCCATTTTCCAGGAATGCATGTACAACATAAAGTGAGGGACACCTGTAATTATATACAGCAAATATGAAAAAAACTAATTATACTTTAAAACTAAATATATAGCAACATGAGAACTGAAACACACTTTGAAGTACAAAATGGCTTGTACATTTTGTATGTCTGATGCATTGTATGCTATAATGCATACAATGTGCATTAATAGCACATTGCATTAATAGCAAATTAATGCACAATCCAATAAAGTTATATTTGTTTTTGCTTCAATCTTACACTGAAAAATATAACCCTAGGCCTCTAGCATGTTAATAAAGCTTTTAGTTTCTTTTTATCTGAAGAAAAAAGTGTGTGTGTTGTGTTTATATGAGATGATGCACCACATCATTTGCACCCCTCTTTTCAGAATCCTAGATCTGCCCATGTTGGTAGGTATGGGGTTGGAAAGTGAACAAAGCGAATATTATAGAAGTATCTCTAGCAGAAAAGTAATACTTTAAAATGTAGGTAAATGAGAGAGAGCATTTGAAGTAAAGAAAAAAAAACATTCTGATGGCAAAGTACATAAATATGTTGTTCTGTTCCTTTTCTTTTGGCTTCTTAAAAAATAAGTAATTACCAGACATTGCTCACTAAATAGAAGCTGACTACTTTTCCTGCCTAATCTCCAGATGTATATTGAATTACAGAGTCCTTAGTATGGATAATAGAAACCTGCATTCTCAAATTCCTTAAATAAAATGTCAGATTCAGAGTTTTTCAGAACTACCTGGTGTTCTGAAAACAGTAGGAAAATGTGATAGCTCAGTTTCTGGTGTCAAAAGAGGCTGGACTCTTAGGACCCTGCCATGGCTCAGAGAAGAGGAAGCTGCTTATATACACTTGGGGGTCAGATCTTAATTGATCTTTAAGGTGCCTTCACTTCATTTCAACACCTTAAATTTTAAACCTGGCTCAAGAGAATGATACAAATTAACAGAGTTAGGTACCTAGACTTCCTAGATGGTGAATGGTGTGACCTAAGTGCTTCCCACTTCAGACTTGGTGTATCCAGGCCCCACAAACAGGGAGATGTCTCTCTTTTGAATATGGTCATGGGAGCCACTTTGCCCAATAGCTCTCTGGGTAAGAGCACTTGCTCAGGAAATCAGAGACCTAAATTCTAGGCCCTCCTCAGTTCCCACTTTCAGGAGTGTCCTAACTGGCAGGCTATGGACTAAAGGCTGGGTGTATCCCTTACCTCCCCATTGAAGATGGCTCCCTATCAGCCAAGAGTGAAAGAGTAATGAGTGGTACCAGAAGGAAAGCAAGCGCTACTTTGCAGTGTACCAAGTCATTCTGGTATTCTCATGGGCTGGGGAAGTGCTGGATTCTGATTCTTGCTTCCAGGGCTATTTCTGTTGTTAACCTATTTCTGCCTTA